CCCCCCCCCTGGTGGCCTCTCGACGTCGTGACACGAGGCTGCCGCGGATGACGCTCCCGAGCATTTTTAATCGGCGCTCGCCCGCCGCAAAGAAAGTACCGAAGCGGCAACTAATGCAACGGTTATTGACATTAGGCCGCAGAGGAGAAAGGGCAAAGTAACGAGGAAGACGGGGGGCGGCGGGGAAGGGAGGCGACCCCGTGCACGTTAAACGTGCTCAGGGAAGAGTGAAAGAAGTCGCTGGATAGGCGGAGGAGCTATTTATTAATGCGCCAAAGTTCGGGGCACCCATGCGATATCGCTCCGGAGGGCTTCCTTTGCACTCTCCCCGTCACATTCCTGTGATCTTCAAAGATACCGGGGGAGAGTACACGGAAGTCTTTCTCGGCGATTTGACCGCTGAAAGTGGGCAAGAGAAAGAAAAAGAAATTCGATGATCCTTGTAGCACGCGTCGTCGAGCGCGCGAGATTCTCCGTAACGGGACGTACGATGCGGAAACGAAGATTTTTATTACCGCTCTTAGAGATCTCTCGGAGGCTGGCGAACAAAGGCGCAGCGGCGCGAGGATTCCCTCCCGGAGAGGAAGAAAAGTAGAATGACACCGGTGTCCCGGTTCTCCATCGCGCGCGTGTAGATAGGCGCGACCGCGGCAAGTGTAACCGAGTCTTTGAATCGCCTCGGACGGAGGCGGGAATGCGAGAGCGCGCGTGAGAGAGAAGAAAATATCACCGCGGTGCGTACAGTTATGTTCACCGCGAGCGGCGCCGTCCTCGGAACGTTACTTTTTGTTAGAGCCCTGCCGTTAGAAACCGCGCCGTTTTAGCGTCTTTTTCCACGGGCGGATCTCGCGCGGCTTGGAATTTATGCGTGTCGCCGCGCCGCGGTGATTGCGCAAGCTATTTGGCGAGAGAGGAGGCTCGTGGACGGGAGAACGGGTTCGCCCGTCACGCGTCTCTCTCTCTCTCTCTCTCCGTAGATTTAAATTTTATGGAAGCCTCTAACTCCCGCGACCCCGTAGTTAGAGGCACCTTTTATTGCTGCTTGCAGAGCGATATCTTTAGCTCTCTTCCTTCTCGCGCGCTGCCGTTCCGGCTACGCGCATTAGGAACCTACGGTACGTACGTATGAATTAACGACCGGACATAAAAAAAGGGATATAAGTACTGAGAATAAGAATCTCACGTGGTGCTGCCTTTCGAAATAATGCGTTGCTTATTTGAGAAGAAAAGAAAAGGAGAAGAAACGCGTGGAAAGAGTTGTTTGTTCGTTGTTGGTGAGCCGTGCCTTCCTTTGATCTCGCCGCTGATTGCATTCGTCGTTTGGGAGGGCGTGCAAGTATCGGCGAACAAGTGTCACGAGGCCGAAACCACGGGGAAACACTTGGAAAGTGTCCGCGTGCGCGTTTAGTTTTTCTTCTCCCGCGTCTTTGAACGTCAACGGCCCACGGTACTTTCTCTGGAATTCCAGAATGCCGTTTCTTGGACGTTCTCGGGACTTTCTCTCACGAATGGAATGCGCCTGTGCATTCACGATCCCGATCGCTATTGTTCTACGAAAGAATCAAGTCGCGAGGCACGCGTTTCGTCCGCCCCGCCCGGCAGGAATTCCCTCGACGACGTCGTATTCACGCGATGCAAATTGCGTGCTAAAACGCGACCTTTGTAAAGTTGGCCCCACTTTTTCCAAATTTGAAGGAACGAACGATGTGTTGGTTACTCCCTCGAAAAAATTTCAAAGTTCTTAATCGATTGAAGAAAAAAAGTTATGTCGATTGAAGCGGCCAAAATATCACATAAAAGTACGGAGGGGGCTGACTTCAGCGATTGTGTAACTTTATGCCAAAACGTTTTTACCTTAAATTTTAGCGCGTCGATTATCCTTAAGAATCGAAGCACCAAATTTTAAGATAATAAAATCGCAGCACTTTGAAGTAACAATCGTAAAGTCGCTCCTCCTGCCTGTACTTTCATACGATGTTCCGACTGTTTCAGTCGAAACACTTTTTAAAATCAACGGAGAACTTTAGAGCTCTTCGGGGGACAAACAGTACCGTGCTTATTTTATCCGAATTTTGGAAGAGCCAACTTCACGGAGGTTAAAGCGCGATGCGAAGGGTAGGACATCGCGAGCGAAACTCTCAAAGCACGCGCGGTGCAGCACGCCTCGCTCGGTGCAAAATTCAATATCGTTTCGTTCCGCAACCCTCCGCTCATCCTGCGAAACTTACGAGTCGCGACTACATTGCAGCGTCGCCGCGAATCGTTATTTATGCATTTATCGGACGCCAATTACCATGAGTCCCGGCTGACCAGCAACGTTCGCCCGGTTGTCCAAGTTCACCCGCGCGAACGCAACGGAAAAAGTGGAGGAGTAGTTGGGAGCATCACATGACACGCGGAAAGTAAAAGTACTCTCTCTCTCTCTCTCTTTTTCTCTGAGAGGGAGAGTTCCTCCCGAAGGCGGAGAATGCTTAATGTTGCTTAATCCGCTCTGTCGCCAGTTGCTGTGCGCGCACCTCGCGACGGAGAGACGGCACGCGAGAACTGCAGAAGCCGCTGTCCCTCGCTCGTTTACTCATCCCGCTGAATTATGGACGAAGTTCCGTGCGAGGGAGAGAGAGAGAGAGAGAGATAAGCAGGAGGACAGGGAGGAAAAACGGTGCAGTTGCAACGAGCACGTGCGCGTTCACACACAGGTGCACTCGCGACTGGCGCCTCGTCGCGCCCGGCTGTTTCTCTATTTGCCCCCTCCTCCCCTTCCCCTTGTCTTTTTCTGTCTGCTTCCTGCTCTGCTTCGCAGGCTCCAACCCTTCTGCGACTCCACGCGCGTGTGCCTCGTAAAAGTTTCAGCGTTGCGAGACAACAAACGCGAACTTTGGTAGCCACGAGAGAAGGAGAGGAAGAACGAAAGAGAGGGACGAGAAAGAGAGAGAGAGAGAGATAGAGCGCAGCACGCGGCGACTTGCGTTAAACATTAATTCGTCATTTCCGCTTATTCGAGTATCATTCCAGCGCGCGCCGTCGCGGCGGCATATCTGCGACGACATTCGACTGCACGATGGTCTCACGTCGCGGAGGAAGGGTTGCGAGTAAACGTTGTTTTTTCCACCAAACGAACGACAGCAATCGCGAGTGGAGGGACGCGAGATTATAGGAGTCTCCATCGCGAATATAACCGCGCGGTGTGTTCTTACATAAAATATAATTCTCAGGATATCCTGTCGACATTTTCTCGTCAGTTTGCACGTTGTTTACGGCGGAAAAAGACATCGG